GTCTGCCGGCGGCACCCTGGCCGGCAGAAGCAGCTGGGCCGTGCTGAGCTATTAACGAGCAGCCTGAAATTCAGAGTCCAGCGAGTAGTTCCCACTGCAACAAAACTTGTAAAGGAAACCGGGGCCTGTGTCAGATGTTAGTGAAGCTCCACAGCCGGGAGCTGTCGTTCTCCCAGACTGTCCTGCTGCAGTCAAACCTGAGCCGCTTTCCCCAAGGCTAACGCAAGGTCACTCTCACATTTCCATCTCGAGAAATGCTGCAGTAGTAAAGCTAGTGATTTTGAAACGGGCTGATGTTGCTAATCCTCATTAATCCAAATAGCAGGTCTAGTCCCCCTGCTTTCACTCTGTATTTACTTCTAAAAGCATTAATAAAGAGGTGTCACGAGGACAAAGATCTCTTACTCCAAAGAGGCAAACAGCATCCCCAAGGTTAAGCTGTACCCACCATCAGTTAACTCTGAAAGAGATTTGTTGATCTTCTGTCGGGTTTCCTCAGTTTTTTCTTTGAACTCCACCAATTCCAGTTCAGATGGAAAAGGCCTCTTTGTGGAGTTGACAAAGTCCTGAAAGACCCAAAATACCACAGTCACCCTTGGTTAAACGCCGTCCACTTAACGGCTCTTTAAAGAGCCTGCAACATCAGCATCCCGAGCTTCACCATGGGGCAGTTAAGGAGTTTATTATGACGGACAGCCATTAATTAACAGCGGGTGACAACCAGGACGCACAGCTGCATTCGGCACATCGCTCCCAAGGTTGTCTTCAGTTCAGTGGTGTAACATCAGCAGCTAAAGTAACTTAAGTAACTTTGGTGTTGCAGGAGTGACCACGTTGCTGGAGTTTGAAAGGATAAAACAACCCTCAGTCCAGGCCTGGGTAAGAGAGAGGACTGAGCTAAAGGCCACAGGCTGATCGCATCATGCCTGTCCTCACCAGATGAGATGTTTATTGCTGTGGATGGGTATTGGCCTTTGCTGTAGCAGGCAATCTGATTATAGCACCATTTAAGCATGTTGAGTTTTCTGAATCACTTTTAGGCTGATGCTGTCCTTGTTTGGGGCCCTATTCAAAGGCAACTTTGGGAAAAAAAATCCATAACATTTTTTCACAGTTATTTGCAACATCCACGAGTTATAAGGCCAAACACCACCTTCCTCACTTGTGTTGTTTCAATAGCCCGGCTTCTGCCTCCTCAGACAGATTAAGAAAACTACAGCTCATGCAGTAATTACTTGGGTGTGTGAACTGGACACACACTTGCACCACCGACTTTTTTGAAAACTCCTTCTCACTCATAAATACAATGCCAAGACCTTGATGTGGCATAGAAGCTATGTTGCATTCAAAACCTACTGTGCTACTGACTTAAAGCATATTAATGAAAGAATTAGAAATGTTGTAATAGTTGCATAGCTTGGGGTCAAGCAGCACACTCATCCCTCCTCCTACAGACTTCTATGGCAGCAGAGAATATTACGTTGTTCATCATCTGAGTCTAGTCAAGCGACAGCCAAAAGTGAGAGCATTTATTTTAAATAATATTGCAGTCTGACACCATCACCCATCACCCATCAACATGCTGGCCGAGCCATTCATAGTACCAGGGCTTTTCTGCGGTACTTACTGTGGTAGGATTGAGAGACTTGTCTACAAAGAGCCGTTTGACCATTTTCAGTGCAAAGAAAGAGCTGAGTTTGGAAACGTCTGAAGTTACTGTTTGAAACCCAAAAGAAACATCTTTGACATCTTGTAAATGGAGTACCTGTCAAATGAACATCATAAAATACTAAGCATCTTTTTTATTGTTATTACCTAAACATTCCTAACAGCTTAGCAAAAAATAATGTGTTTGGGACAAGAGGTGTGGCTTTTTGTATTTAAGCTAACAACACAGCCTTTCACTGTTGTTACTCAAAAATAATTTATTTATTTTACATCTTCACATAAATCTAAAAACCTGATCCTACCAGGACTTTAACCAAACGCGTTTCTTTCCTGTCAGCAGTCCAAATAAATCAATAGAGCTGTTCATGCTGGCGATGTGGCTCAGTCAATTAAAACTCTGTAGCATGGAGTCAAAATGTTTTCACCAAACTTACATTCCTGTACAAAAACCTGGAGCTTTAAAGCCAGGTAAATGAGGGTCCCAGTTAGTTTCCTTTCTAGGGTAGGTGGGCTACACCTTTAAAAATGCTTAACAGATCATCAAGTTTTCTGATTGTTGTGACTGGTACATGATATCACATGATATTTCAGCAAAAACTGATCAGATGACTATGTCTGTTTTGGTAGACAAAGTATGAGCTGGAAGTAAGGCTGCTGACCCACACACGGCCACCTCCCAGCTCCTGGGACCGACAAGTCCGGTGTCACTAGAAGAGCTGGGCTGACCTAAAGCTTGCTGCATTTAGGCACCAGAGGTGAGAGGTTACTGCTGGTTTCGTTTGAAAATAACCCTGTAAACGAGAACCAAACTTCTAATGCCTGCTTATTACAGGTCTTTCATTACAGGCAGCCTGCCCAACCCTCCTCACCTGTCTCAAGTTCCCGCACGAGGCACCGCAGGCGCGAGCGACCTTCTTTTCCTTCTGTCCCTCGCTCCTGCTCTTTCTCCCTGAACACAGCACATCCTCACAGACACAACAAACTGCTCTTCTGCCTCAGCCACCCCGCCATGTCCTTCCCTCTCCTTGCTCAGCGGGAGCGGAAGGAAATAAGCTCCCGAGGACACAGCACCCACACAGTTCTCATAGCCAAACTCCACCGTCATTTCCTCAGAAACACCCATTTATTTCATTTTCCTCCAACAGTTTTGTTTCTTAGCATGTTAAGTGCAGAAAGCTTCTGTGCCTTAAACTACGTTTGGGAAGAAAGCCACGCTACTCCAATGTCTCTACCTGGGAGAGCTTTCGGGACAAGTTTGTTAATGGATATTCCAGAATAAGACAGCCAATCTGGCTCCTTTTATTTCTAGCATTTAAAACCCAAGCACAACTCAGAGGCAGGCAGAAGCTAGAAGAGACATGAAAAATAGGAGATACTACATTTAAAAACATACCGAGCTCTCCTTAGTACCTGTGGTCAGAAATTTCTATATATCACTTGAGAAATACGAAGCATAAACACGCTTGTGCAACAGAGTTCCATTTGTGGATGTGTACATTAGCTTATTACGGGATGGTTCAAAGCAAATTGCAGACACAAGTGAAAATGAAATTAAGGGCAGGTTAATATATTGAACCCTCCCATCAGAAAGACAACGCATGAATTTTGAAATGGTGAGGAAACTACAGGATGTCGTTTAAATTCTAAAAAAAAATCTAGAGTTAATTTTGATTATTTTATTTTTAAAACAATGCTGTTTGGAAAAATCTGCAATGCCTAGAAGATCTTCATGGATATATCGCTGTGCAGCTCTGCGAATAGCACAAGACTCATTGTAATCTGTGGCATGAGTGGGGGCCCAGGAGGCTGCACTCAGGGTTACCTTCAGTGAATGAAGAAGTACAGGCAGGGATTCCCAAAGGAGGGAAAATATATTCAAATATGTAGAATGTCCCTCAGAGCCAGGTGATAATCAGCATATGAATGCATGCTGAATTTGCTCCTTCACTCCACCAGAAACCGTGGACACCCTCCCTGGGATAAAAAGGAACTACGCAAGCCTCTGCTTACACAGAGGCAGCAGAAGAGGCTGCAAGGCTGCTTCCTGCAGCACAGAGTGAGCTTGATAAACTGATCGCATCATGACTGCCATGCTGCGTCACGGTGCTGGAAAACCCTTGAACACCACGAGCTGCTTGTAAGGAAAAACTTGGTTGAAGTTGTGCCCTCTTCTATTGCATCCGCCTCCTCTTAGTGGTATGGCGGGAGAAAGGAGAAATGTCAGTGTCAGGGCTGCTGAGCATACTTGCCGCTGGCAGATAGTGGCAAAACTACTTCCAATTCTATAAAGCTTAGGCATTCTTGGATAATGAAAATAGCAATTATCCAGAAAATGCAGTGATCTTGACTGTGACTTGCAGCCACAATGAACACTACGCTAAAAGGAGACAAGGCTTTAATGCAACTGTTGAGGACTCTGCCATGCCCCCTTCCACTTTGCACACACTTGAGAATGCTTTTTCTTTATGCCAGATTTTCAGTCTCTTTTGCTGTGTGGGGCCATGGAGTATGGAGCTGTTCGGGAATTTTGGATAGATGGTTTGCAGCCTGCCTTACAAGGGAACCAGACGTCCAGTAGAATACTAGCATGAATAAATACGAAAGCCACCTCTGACAGCCATATAAGTTTGCAGCCACAGAACAGGATGCTGACAGCTTACCTGTTTCATCTGGTCTGCGGTATCACCTTTCGTAGCTTTATATGCCAGAGCCAGAGACGTTGAGGTACACAATGGGGCAAAAATAATATTGGCTGTTTTGTCCTTCTCGCATAGTTTTTTGAACATATCAACTGCAAAGGCAGTGTTCGCTAGTTGCAGAGCGTCCATCGTCATCCTGAAACAGAAAAGGGGAAAGAGAGACGACTCAGAGTATAATTCTAGCTCCTGCTGTTGTGGGGCAGGGTCAGAGCACTGAAGGAGGCTGGACACCAGTATGGGGACTGGGCAAGCTTGAACCTTCAGGGAGAGGAGAGGACAGGAGGGACTGACCAAGCCCAGTCAGCCTCAGAGCACACCAGCAGCTCCTGCGGAGCAGGGAAGGTCTCATCCATGTCCACTCAAAGAAATGAGAGTGGTTCTGCAATAGGCATCATCTTCAAGTGACAGCTAGCCACGCCACGTGTTACATGGAGCCAGTATTACCAGAAGCACTTGGGGAAATCTGGGAAGGTCAGGGTGAACCATGCATATTGAGTCAAATTGGATCGCGTATGAATTTAATCTGTTTTTAATTGATACTCTTGAGATGTGCCAACTTACAAGGTACTTTGCCTACGCTCTGGGCTCCCCTGGCTCTCAGACAGGCTGTTAATAGTCTCTCATTCTTTCCTGTCTCTTGCTTCATGGCTAATTGTTCATTAAAGCTTTAGCTTTGGTACACGTCCTTCCTCTAAGGGATGATTCCCCATTCTCCCTAACCTTGCTAGAAGTCTCCAGAAAGCAGTCTGGTCCTGTAGGTTGAGAAACTTAAAGGAGGCCTTCTAAATAAATACTGCTGTGTGCCCATTCATCACTTACACTGTTTTAACTGCAAATACTTTCCTAGCCGTTCTTAATAACTTCAGTTGCCACGGGGCTGTTAGATGATCTGTGCAGTCAGGAATGGGAAGGGTGCTGCCCAAGGGACAGCTGCTGCAGTCCATGCTCTGGGACCGCCAGAGAGTATTCCCATCTTCCAGACTGCTTTCACACACCTGAAATTGCACTTTGGTGTAAGCACGTTTGTGTAGATTGAAGCTAACAAGGGTGAGCCACAGAATTTCAGTCAATAGCACAAATCTGGCTTTAGACCAGCAAGCACAGAGAAGATGACCCCTTTGGCAGAGTGAATTTGACGCTACTCTGCCCCCAATATAATGTATCCCTAAAAAAAGGCAATCTGTTAAAATTGGTCTTAAACAGCTCCATCAAAGCTGTTGACAGAAAGGAAATGGAAAATATGAATATTGGGGGAGACTTCAAAAGGCATAGAGTTCACATAGAACCTAAAAGGTGTCTCCAGCATTTGCTCTCTCCAGGAAAAATGACAACATATTGGAATAAATATGGTGTGGAGGGGTGATTTTAAAAGCTGTGTTCTTATCCAGACACGTACCTATCTACATTTGCATGTCAGGCTCTGACACTGAAGCTCTGGGGGTCCTATTTTATCCTAATATGAAAAGGAAAGTCAGTTATTTGTTACATTGGCAGGAGGTCTGATAAAACACCTTAGGGACAGGGAACTCTCTCCAATAACTGACTAATTAATACCGCAGTCTCAAACATTTACTTACCTCGTTCATATCATTTGCATCCTAGCCAGGAAAGAGCTCACTGGGTGAGAGTAGGACAAAAAAAAGGAGAAGAGGGAACATATGGGCAGGGCACTGTCTCCAGCAAAGTATCTTTCTGGACCGTTCACTCTCACCTCGGTTTGGAAAGGCATTTTGAATTAGAGCAATCTCCTACTTGAATGCATGTGTCATACGGCCCAAACTTAGCTGAACCTCTGGCACCATTGCGCAGAGACGCTGTGGAGCAGTTGTGGTACTTGACAGTAGTGAGTGACTTCCAAATAGTCTGCGGTATTTCTACATTTTTATGGGAGTAACAGAAACGGTGCATAATTTGCCTGGTGACACACTAGAGAAAACACTGTGATTTACTCGTAAGGCCTTTTTGATTAGAGAAGGCCTTTTATAAAATAAGTGTCTTTATTTTTATTTTAATTAACTTATACATGTTCTTGGATGTATTTGGTAAGGCTACTGGTTTATTTGGCAACTTGTTTGTTTTGGGCTAAAAGATGCTGTACAAAAGGTTACTGAAATGCATTGCACAATCTAATTAAGTAGGAAAAAAAAAAGATACTGGCATAAAACCAAGGCTTTTTAAATCCATGTTTGAAAAGCACACCTAACCAGCACTGCACTCTTGCAAAATGTTCTGATCGTTGGTATGAGCAACAAATTGTTTGCTAACAAATCCCCTCCCACTGGAAAAAAAAAAAAAATTTGTCCTGAAGAAGGGAAACATTAAGTATGTATCACTGAAGAAAGTTATCCCCACATAAAAATATAGAGGAATAGGCTTTGCAATCTCTAGAGGCTTTGCCAGAACCCTGAATTCAGAATTGGTCTGGCCGGACCTACCCACCTTCCAGTAGCCTGGCAGTGCCCCGCAGCTGCTTGGGAAAGAGAGATTATCTCTGCGAGATCCCATTTTACAGCGTCAGCAGGCATTGAGCTGATGTCAGAATGAGGTTCAGCAAGCGCATCCCAGAGATCGAACGGGTGTAAAGGGAGAACTAAGGGCCAGCCCAGCACTGCAACCATCTCTCTCATTTATGTACTCACAATTTCTCATGCATGAAAGCGACTAATTACCAGAAAAGTCAAGCTTGCCAGAAACCACGGGCTCAGGACACACCTTAAAGGAGGAGAGCTTTGGGCAGAACAGTGGCAAAAGACAGTTAAAATGAATTTGAAGGACTGAGACTGCTGATGAGGGAGTAACTTGGAACAACAGGGGCAAAGGAGCAAATGCAAAATCATTGCTCATCCCAGACATGCACCTTTGTGCCTGTGCCTGTCTTGAACCCCCTTGCATAGGCTACCTCCCTTACCTTCCCCATTAACTCAACCATTCACAGATGAACACACAACACATACATCTCTTTTGTCTCCTTCTCTCTCTCTCTCCCTGCCTCCCCCTTGCCCCAGCTAAAATTTGAAGATCTGAGGCAAGTGCCAACTTCCCAGGTATTTCTTACTAAAGAGCTGGTGGAAAATTACCCAGGGAACCAAGAATGTGTCATTCAACATCTACCACCCTCAAGAAGACAAACAATATGAAGATTCTCACAATGCAGAATGAGGAATGAGGCATAGAGTTCACCTGAAAAAAGTCTTATTTGCTAGTGGGGAAGAATATCATTCTTTAGTGCTGGCTGGCCTGATATTATTCTATTTAGGCCTCTGTATCTTCCTTACAGGCTAAAAATCAATATGCAATCATAACCGCTTAAAAATACTTCTTGATCCTTTCTGGCCTAATATGGCAAATGCTACGCTGTCATATTAACATTAGTATTTTCAGTTATATTGGTGATTTTAAACCTAGGGTGATTTTAAGACATGTACATGCGATCTATGTTTCACTTTCTTGCGTTGCAAGAGATTCAGAGTAAGAAAATAAACCAGGAGATTTTGCAAAATTGAATGAAAATCTTCTTCCTTATGCCAGTGAAAAGCTGTACCATGGCTTAAAAACTCTTATTTTCTGACCTCATTGGTAATTCCGATACTGTTGGATCATTTTCTACAAAGTTCTGACGTTCCTTTTCAGTGAGGAAAACAGGAGATATTTCATGCTGAACCTTTTGTTTACCTTTTGTTCACTCAGTAACTGCTGATACTCTCAAAGCTTCTTTTGTGCTGAGTGAAACAATTTCTGGTAGTGGTAAAGCTCTTCATTCTTAGGATTTCTTTCTTTTAGTGCTACTATTGAAATAATACCCATTCAGGGCATTTTGTTGGGAAAAAAGCTCAGTTTCACCCTTAACCTTGAATGATGGGCTGGATAGCAAAGAATCTTCTCTATTCCACCATCTTTTCCAGCTGCATCTGGTCAGTCAGTTTTTTATGCTCCATTTATTAATGGTGTGTGATATGCAGGAGCTCATGACATTCATATTCTTGAAAATAATTTATGTTATTAAATACTATAAAATCTTAAATCTCATTGAAGCCTTAAGCATCCCAAGCCTTATGAGCCCATTAAAGCTAGTTCCCATCAAGTGAGAAGGGATGAGGCTCCCATCAAGAGGAAAGCCCATTAGCTGCCCCTCAGCAGTCCTAGAAACAGATGCAGCTCCTCAGTCAGTAATCACAGGGAACCCTCAAACAGGGAGGAGTCAAAAAATTGGAAATGAAATTTTCAAAAGGCCGGCTGCATGGATTCTTGCTGAGTCCCTCCTTTCCCAGGCAAGTGGCGTGTCAGCTTTTCCAGAGAGGCCCGCGGCACTGGGGCATCTTCTAAGCACAGGCAGCTTGTGATCCACCCAGCTTTGCTTAAAACTGTGACTCTGCCACAGCGTTGTAGAAACACTTTCAGATACAGAAGGGAGCTGAAAGGCTACTGAACCAGTTTAGAAAAACCTGATTTAAACTTGTTTATGGGTATAAGACACCATTTTTGCCTAGTCACTCTTGAATGCAACAACAACAACAAAACAGAAAACGAAAAAAACCAAGAGAGGCTTTGTTTACGATCTGCTTACTAAAAGAAAAGCTAAATATAGCTTATCTTTTACAAATATAATCAGGACAATAGCAATGTCTGTGTGGAAATGTCTGACAAGTCAAGTTAGCTATACGGTAGGGATAATCTGATAAAGCAGAACAAGTATTTATTTTGTTCTTGTCTCGGTTAAGCAGTCCTTCCAGGAGAAGACAGCTGTGGCAGACAGAGCCAGCAGACATCCAGTGCTGGGGGTGTATTGGGTTTACAGCTCAGGAGCTGTGGGTGCCAGCACTGTAGCCTCTCCAGTTGAAACTTCCACTGAGAGAATAAATGATATGAAACAACCCACATGCATGTTTCACGAGTGAGGCATTAATATTTGAAACTAGCTCAAGCATTTAACATGACCCCACTTCAGCTCTTACTTGGCAAACGCAAAATACAAAGGAAATAAAAGATTTCTGTGAGCCTTTTCTTCTTACTTCTACACAAATGACAACTCTCCACCTGGCAGGCTACCTGGCTGCACAACAAGGATGCAGTTTCCTCTGAACAGTCATTTCTCTGAGGAACGCAAGGCATCAGGCTGATGTGGGACCAGAGCGTCT